CATATCCGGAGCGCCAATAGAAGACGAAGACCCTGAGAGTCCAAATGTTAGTCATTCGGTCAAAATAAGCCAAAGTATGGTTGGCCAATGTATGCATTGTAGACGGTGTGTGTCAAAAGTCAAAAGTGAAAAAAACTAGGGGCATGAAAAAGCAGTGTGCCTGGTAAAAGCAAGGCCAATGCCCATGAAAAGAAAAAAGAAGAAGAAGAGAAAAAAAAAATGAAGAAAAAGAGAGAACTTTGGAGTAGAAAATGTCGAAATATGATGTGTCAAAGTCACAAAGATATCCACAGTCTTAAGGAATCAAGTGACGAACTCTTGCGGCCAATAGAGCATTTACCAAGAAGACAATCCCTGGCAATGAAGAAGATCGGTGATTATGCCTAGATGATCACCAACTCTCACCCTTATACACATTTTCAAGCCTGATATATCCTTTCGTTTCTCAACCCGTGAACCTAGCCTACGTTACGTCCCTTGCAAAGTCTCTTCTGATTAGGGCACTTGAATTAACGTAGAATTTCAGATGTTTATAAGCTTAGCCCGAAAAAGTGCGAGCAAGTCTATTTCTATCTCATTTTGCAGGGTTCTTGACTTGTAAACCCGGAGATGATTGTGGAGTATTTTCTTTCAATAGCCTCGACTCGAAGAGTCCCTTTTGTTAAGCCATTGGCCAAACCGACACCACGTTCCTGACAAAGACCTCTCAGATTGGTAAGGTTGTACCGCTTGCGAGAATACTCGGACCCTTGTCGACATGATAATGGTGAGATGGAGTGATTCTCATGAAATAGCCTTTTTCAATGAGAGTGAGTGAAAGCCCTTTTTAACTGAAAGTCTCTCATTTAGCATTCTTAAGAAATCCACGTTATAAGTGAAAATTGTCTTAATGATAATTCTCCCTAGTGGAAATTTGGTTATGCAAATATGGTAAAACCATCATGCATAAACCTCAATTGAATTAATGAATTTTGAAATGTGTGTTCTAGAGTAGCCGTGATTGCTAATCTCTTTTATGAATGAATATGTGTTTTTGCTCTAGTCATGTCCGACAGGTAATGTTTCCTCGAAGACTGAAGAGTTCCTGACGCTTGAGTTGCTATCTGAAGCTTCGAATTTCTTTAAATATTTTTCAACATTCAAATATCTGATTGAAGTTTCAGTTATCATTTTCGAAAATCCGAAGAGAATTTTCGATTCTATTAATCATATCTGATTGCAGTTTCAGATATCTTTTCGAAGATCCGAAGGGAATCATCGAACCCATTCAAATACCTGATTGAAGTTTCAGGTATTATTTCCGAAAATCCAAAGGGAGTTTTCGATCCTATTAATCATATCTGATTGCAGTTTCAGATATCTTCTCGAAGATCCGAAGGGAATTTTCGAGCCCATTCAAATATCTGACTGTAGTTTTAGATATCTTTCTCGAAGATCCGAAGGGAATTTTCGAGCATATTCATATTTGATTGCAGTTTCAGTTTCAAGTATCTTTCTCAAAGATCCAAAGGGAATTTTTGAGGCCATTCAAATACCTGATTGGAGTTTCGGGAATTTTTCTTGAAAGTCCGAAGGGAATTATTCGATACCTTTTATCGAAAATCCGAAGGGAATTTTCGAGCCCATTTCATCTAAAGCATCTCCTCTGAAAATCCGAAGGGAATTTTCAAGATTATTTCAAGTCTTATTTCGAAAATCCAAAGGGAATTTTCGAGCTTTCAAATACTATTGGGAATTCCAGATACTTGGCGGGTTTCGAAAGCTGTTCCATACCCCAATTTTGCTTTCCCAAATCTTCAGGTAAGTAAATGCAGGTATGTTTTCTATTTTTGCATTTGCATTTTCATATCACATCAGAAAATGGGTGTGGGCTCATTGAGATCCCATTTACTCGACAAAAAGACTAATTTTTCTCATTGCATTTGCATAGTCAAAATTTAGGTATCATTTTGTCTTTGAATGAAATCTCCTCGAGCTCCCCTTCAAAGAGGGGCAGCTGTTAACACCTAAATTTTGGCACATCATTTAGTGATTAATTGCATAGAAAATTAGGGATTAAATTTTAACCCCTAAACAAAAATATCAAAATTGCATAGCATATAGTTTAGGATGACATAGTTTAATTGCATTCCATATCGGACCGGCGGTGGTGAGTAAGCTGAAAATCCATCACATAAATCGAGCTCGAGCGTCGAGTGAAACTCGGCTCACTCAAGGGATTGGGGGCCAAAATTCACAAGTTTAAAAGGCTTTGGTTGTTTTAATTTGAGCTTAAATCAGCCCGAATTAATTTAGCCCATTTGAAATTAAAATAAAATTAAACGATAAAGCCTAAGTCTAAGCCCATTAGGACAAGGAAGCTCGATTAATTAACCTAGGGTTGCGATATAAATATGTCGTTATGTGTCATAATCAAGGGGCGCTCATAATTCCCAGAGCAAAATTTTCAGAGAGAGAGCACGAGAGACACACGTGAGCGAGAGCAAAGAGCAAGAGAGAGAGCCGGTCGCGCACGCGTCTACCTCACCATCTTGCTGCCTTACGACCGCGGCGCGCCATCACCTCCCTCGCGGCCAGACCTTCGGCAGCGAGAAGTCTACCCCCGCCCTACGCTGCTTCCTCCCTGGATCAATTGAGCCGGCCCACGACGATCGCTGCTGCCCATCGAAGCCATCTATTCCTCGACGACCAGAAAGCAGTCACCGTGGAAGTCCCTGCTGTTACGGTGACGACTTGCTGACCCGTGGCCGAAAGGTTTTCTGTTTGATACGCGCGGAGGCATAGAGGACAGCCAAGTGGAGATTTTAATTGTGGGGTTGGAAGTCAAAGTCTGATAATCAAAGAAGACCATCACAAAACTAGCCAGATTCGGTCAAAAGTTAAAGGGTTAAAGTAAGAGACCAAAGAAAATTTTCTTTGGCGATCACTCGGTGGATTTTCCTTGAAGACGTTGTAGCAGCTGCTTGCGTCACCGCACCTCACCAACGCCCAGCGAGCTTTTCTCTATCGTTCCGCTTGCCACGGCGGACCAACGAAGCACCATCCAGCAAGCCTTCTCTCCACTGTGACGACGTGGCCGAACCGTGATTCCGGGACGACGTCGAATCATCCCTGTTGCACCAAGACGTCCAGCCGGGTTCGTTCATCATCTCACCACCGTCACGCCCGCCGATCACTCGCCTTCGATCATCGGGATCATCATCCCGATCCGCAAGCCGGAGTTCGATCCGAGTTCAAATTTGGAATTATCCGCCAATTAGGTAAGATTATCCGAATATTTCTTTTAAATATTTAATTTCCTAGTTTTCGGGTGTTTGAATATTTCGTGAATATTTTGGTGGATAGCTAGATATCTTAGGGTAATTTTGTGATATCCGCAATATTCAAAAAATACCCAAAATTGGGAATTTTTCCAAATTCGGCAACGTATCTGGACGACTATCCGACCTTATCCCTAAGGTACGATACGCGGCGATACGGAAAATCGTTATCTTATCCATAATCACTTGGATACGATAATAGATTTTATTCGCGTTCCAAATTTGAACAATCATCTTTCCGTCGATATCTATAACCCTATAGATATGACTGTTAGTTTGATTTCTTTTCCTAATCCAAATTTGATAAGAAGAATCTTGCGGATTGCGTGGATTGTTTGAGTGCGATTGTTATCTTTATTTGATTGCTTTTTTTTTAAAATAAAGAAAATCCAAAAATAGTAGATAGGATTTACATTAGAAATTTTTGCATGTTCAGAGAATCCTAAATATATCCAAAAGATAAGATAGCTATTTGATTTAAATTGGGATTTAGGGTAGCATATTTCCTAGTTTAAATTAGAGATTGATCTAGTCTTAGTGGATTATTTAGGACATTTAATTATTTCGAATTTTCATAAAATACCAAAAAGAATCACTTTAGGATAGATCAAATCATTTTTTTTAGAATAGATTGCATGTTAATTTAGGCATTTTTTTAATTCCGAACTTCATTAGAAAAATACCAAAAATAAATCATTTCTCCGTCATTAGAATTAGGTCACGTCGTCGCATGACATATAGTTTGCATGCTAGGTTGCATTAATCGCATGTCATTTTCGCATGTCATTGCATATAGGCTAGATTTCATTTAAATAAGTGAAAATCCAAAAAAAGAAATTGAGTGAATTGCTTGTTAATTAGAAATCATATTAGGGTGTCAATGTGATTTTCTAGCTAACAATGCAGATGCTTACGTTGCTTCCAGGTAAGTAATTCTTCCAAACTTGCAATTTATTTAATGCTTTCTGGGTGTTAAATTGGTGGTTTGCGCACTCGCATGAACACCTCACATGTTAGTAACTAAGTTGAAATGGATCCAAACTGCCTGCACAAATGTTTTTGAAAAGAAAAGGTACCGAAAGGGCGTTAGACTAGATCTAGCGTAATCAAGTCCCCGAGCTTAGAATCTCTGGTTCGTAGGAATAAAACATATCTCCCTATGTTTTATTTAGGTTTCTAATCGACCTACCACAAATAGATTAGTGGCGACTCCAAGCATGAAAACTTTTGCATGTTAAAAACTTAAATCCTAAGTTGCGAATTGGTAGGGCTTGGGAGGGCTCGAGTTAAGCTTAGACTTAATAATCCATTAGCCCGAGAGAAATTTTTGGTCGCGACAACACTCCAATGAGACCAACATTTTATCATTTAAGGGAGTTGTCACGCATAACACCACATCAAGCAATTGCGGTTCCAATCCAATTAACTCAACAAACTGTTTCGATATGAAAGAATGTGACGCCCCAGGGTCAAATAAAGCATACGCAGCATGGTCGCACAGAGAAATCGTAACTGTGACAACCCCTGGTGCATTCTCAGCCTCTCTTCTGGCCATAGCATACACTCGTCCTTTCGCTTGAGGCCTATTCTGGTTTACTGCCTGGGCCGCTCCAGTCTGATTCCCGATTCGAGGTGGCGGCAACGCAGGTGGCCTGTTCTGTCTGGGATTGGGGCAAGTCCTTATGTGGTGACCAAATCTTCTACATCCAAAACACGCTCCGCCCCGGGTTGGACAAGGTCCATTTCCGTGTCTACCTCCACATATTCTACAGAGACCATTCTGATTCCAGGCTGGCTTCCCAATATTTCTCCTAACGGAAGGAGTAAAACGCCTATTATCCACCATCGGTCTCTTCCCAGGATTACGATTGTCCCTACCCTGGATAAACCTTGATCCAGAAGCAGCAGCCCTTTCCACTTGATCTCGCTCTAGAACTTGAGCTCTATTAAATATTTTCTCGTACGTCCTCAGATTTACCAGTAACAACTGGCTGCGAATATCAACCTTCAATCCGTCCCGAAATCTTCGCGCCTTATCATCGGGATGTTCTACCATTCTCGGCGCAAACTTAGACAATCTCGCAAATTCCGCCTCGTATTGATTTGCCGTCATCAGGCCTTGGCGGAGTCCCATAAATTCGGCTAACTTCCTTTCCCTGGCGTTGGCCGAGAAATACTTCTCATAAAAACTTTCAGTAAAAGCAGTCCAAGTCCGGGCAGTACCTTCCGGAAATATTCTATCCCTGGTGGCCTTCCACCAATCATTCGCGTTATCCTGCAACTGGTATACTGCTAGGGTTACTTTCTCATTATCAGAGCACTCTAATACTTCAAAAGCTTTCTCAAGCTCCTCTACCCATCGGGGTGCAGCCTCAGGGTCACCTTTCGCAGAAAATTTAGGCGGTTTTAGCTTCATAAATTGCTCTACTAATTGATGCATTGGCCTATTCACAACCCCTTGCCCCTGCCCTTGATTCTCTTTATTATTAACGGCAGTAGCGGCCTCGGTAGCTTGGGCAATCGTAGCAGCTCGTTCCTGAGTCTGCTGTCCTATTATATTACCAATCTGCTCTAAGGTCCTCATGACCGCTTCCATTCTAAGGTCCTCTGCAGGTCTAACATCGACTTGGGGGTCCACTGCAGCTCCAGCATCAACCCCAAGATTTTCTATCGCTCCTGCACCCATTCCAAGGTCCTCTACAGCTCTAGCTCGAGCACAGCCTCTACCCCTTGTTCCTCTTCCTGCGCCCCTTCTTGGGACTCTTCCTACACCTCTTCCTTCGCTGCTTATCGTCACAATTCTACCACTCTCCTACCTGCTATAATTCCACTCAGGAATTAGTAACCTAGGCCAACTAGATCCGTCTAGTCCTAGGCAGTAAATTAAGGCAAGAATTTACTCAGCAGGCAATCAATCACTACCATCACTAGACCACAATCAATAGGGTCTGAACACTTACCTCAAGTCCAGACGCACCTGCATTTCAATAATTACCACAATCAACTCACTCAATCAATCACAGCAAACAATCTGGAGGCACGTGTAGCTCATTTCGCCCTATAACTCACTAAAGTCTCCCCAAAATACTACCCCAGGTTCTCTACTTCTTATCACTCCAACTTCGACCAGTTTAGATCGAGCTGTCCTCGCTCTGATACCAATTCAAACGGGTATGTCACGCCCCGAACCCCATCGAGCGCACGACACCCTCTACCGGTCGATTAAGACGACAGCCCAGGGTATCGCCGACCTCACTTATAACATCAGAGATTAAATCAACAGCGGATACCACAATTACACCCGGACAATTTAAAACTGGGGAAACATTCAGGGAGAATATACACACATTCATTTCTATTATCAAACTTATAAAATATTCACAGTTTATAACCACCATATACATTTGCACACCGTATAATAAACCACCGATATACAAAAAGGATCGATAACCTGGTATTCTACCTCAAAAATGGTACTCTCCAAAAACCTATTCTGAACCCCTATACTAGCCCCTACGCCCGTTGCTCGGCGTCCACTCTGAGTCCGACTCCTCGTCGTCCGAATCCGAACTCCCCTGAACGGTCTGTTCCCAACTTACCCTGAACGATTAGGAGGGGGTACGGCAGTCGGGTCCCAGTCCTCAACTAAATCAAAAGGGACGTCGAAATCGCGGACGGGTCCAAACTCATCTACCCCGTCCCTGAAGAACCAGGCGGTATACTTATGCTCTTCCCATAGGGGTACACCTACGTCTACGAAAACTGTAGTAGTATGCTTAATCCAGGTTATATTGTCAGCCATGGGAAACTCTAAAACTTCCAGTTCGGTGTGCACTGGTACTCTAAAACGCTCAGGTGGCGGTGGCAGAGGATTCATGGCGCAGGTCGGGGTTCTGAAAAATGTTGGTTGGAACAACCATGAGACTATATCTTAGTAAGTACACCCCTAAACCCCACCTAGGCTATCACGTACCTCCAGACAATCATACAAAACACAATCACATACATCCAATCATCAAATCGCAGGCACATTAATCATTCTTACCCGGCCTATCATGAGGGCTACCTGCATATTAGTCCCAAACACATCATATGCAATCACATGCATGCTTAAATCATGTTTCACGCATTTTCACTTGCCCCATCACATTCCTTTCCATACCACTCGCCAGTGACCCGCGTTACAGTACACGCCTCAGGTTCACTGCGACCAATTATCACAACATTTCAGGGCCCGCGTTACAGTACACACCTCAGGCCAAGTTTCTTGCCCGCGTTGCAGTACACGCCTCAGGCTCAACATCTACCACCTACTGCACAACCCGCGTTGAAGTACACGCCTCAGGCTGGCAGTCTTCCGGTAGTACCGGGCATCGTCCCGCGTTGAAGTACACGCCTCAGGACGGCACAATTTTCACGATCGCACATGCCACACCACATTCACTCTATTGCTCATGCACATGCTCAACAGTTACTTGCCACTTAATCGGCCACACGTGGCCCGAGCACGCATCAATTCACATACAAATCATGCTCACTAAGCATTTGACATGGCCAAGTTAATAATTAATTCAGTCTAGCCCAAGTGTGCACACAATAGACATGTTTCAATCAATCAATTGCACAATCACGCACCCAATTTTACCACCACAACTCAGTCACAGTACAAACACACCGTCAACATATAAATTGGCATTTTTCTAGATCCAAACTACGCCAAATCAGTTCCGGCTCTTCACGACACTTACACGAAATTCAGAGCTGGATCTAAATATCCAGTTTGTGTGCCAAACCGAGCACCACAGCATTTGAATCAGCCAAACACAGCCCCCTTCAGTCTCAAATTTTTCCACCAAAATTCCCAAAATTCAGTCCTAAGGCCCGCCAAACATTTCCGCACTTAAAATCGCACAATTCCACACCCAAATAAACCCAATTTCACCCCAAAGATTCTCCTTCGATACCTGACGTCCTAGCTAAGGTTTAGAGCGCGACTTACCGAGCCCTAGACTATCTCGGCTAGAGAAAAACGCGGCGGCGATGGACGGGGGCGGCGGCGAACGGCGGCGCGACTTGGCGGCTTGGGCGAACGGCGAGCGGCGGCGGCCTTCCTTGGCCGACCAGCTCACGGCCAAGAGAGAGAAAATCGGGAGAGGGGGAGGACGGCGTGAGGGTCGAGGGCGGCTCGGTGGCGCGGCGGCCGGCGTACGGCGACGGTGACCGGTGGGCGTACGGACGGCGGTGATGGTGCGGCGGCAATCGGCGAGGGGAGGGGCGATCGGCGTGAGGGAGAGAGGGAGGTGGAGCCGAGAGTGAGAGATGGAGAGAGAGAGTGAGGAAAGAGAAAGGGTCATTTGGACCTAAATAGTGAATTTTGACCCAATTTGGCTAATTACCATCTTGCCCGTCTCTCACAAATGAAATCGACGGCCCAGATTCGATCTTATCTTGAAACCGACGGCCGAGATCGAATCTTACCAAAATATCCAAGGGCATTTTGGGAATTTCATAAAATTCCAAGGGCAAAATTGTCCAATCCAAAAAGTTATGGCAAAATGACCAAAATGCCCTTCTACCATAAAGCATGCCCTTTACAAACTCTTAGGGGTAAAATGGTCACTTTCCTCATTTCTCATCGAAATCGAATTTTTCTGAAGGAATCGGGATAATCCAAAATTGCACGTTCCATCCGCAACGTCGTCCTAGCGTCCCGTTGTGACTTCCAAATTTTTCCGATGTCCAATTTGGGCTCAATTAAATAATCAAATTTTATTAAACGCAACTCGAGCGTTTCTCAAACTAACGGGCGGCTTGTTGGGGAAATTCGCATATTCGACCCGTGACTGATAATAATTCGAGTCACGTGCAAGTTCATTCGGTTCGTGACGACCTCGGTTGTCATTAAAATTGCGAGGATCAATTACTAGATCCGAGGGGTACGATCGTTCGGTATAGGTTCAGGATCATTCGTCAATTCATTTCGTGGTCTGGCGGTATCACCCGCGATCCACTACTCTGACAGTGGCGAACTGACCCCTGGCTATCCTTGGATCGGCCAACAGTGGCTCAAAATGTCACCTCGGCGATTTCATGGTCGAAAGTCAATTCACGATCGAATTTTCTTTTAGTCGTACGAATTTAAATTCCTAATTAGCCTTTCCCTAATGGTTAGTATTCCAGGAATGATCAGTTCCGGGTGAGAACTAACTATGAATACATTCATAAAACTCAGTATTTTATAAATACCAAATGGATCAATTTTCAGGATGTCACAGGGAGTTTCTTCGAATATGATATTTTATTGTTCAATGACCATTGAGATTAATTATTGTTTTGTTCTGGGCAATCTCTAATGGAAACTGCGAATGATCTCATGGCGCAATTACTCTATCATCTTTTCTTTGATCATGCAAAACCAATTAGATGATAAAATAAGAAAACTTTGTTTAATTTCTTTTTGTCTGTGTTTAAAAAAATTTAGAAGTATCTTTATTGTAAGATGTTAGAAGGTTTGGAACCCTTGCTTCGGCAAAGTGTTGCTAGCCCTTCTCCATCCAGGAGAGGACTCGCAGGCCTTCATTGTGCAGTGGCTAGGGTTGGCGTGCCTCGCCGTGGGTAAGGGGCTGCAGCCTTGCTAGAGCATGGCCTAGACCCTGCAAGGTCTTGTAGAGGGCCAAGCGTACCCTACCCTACCCTACCACCATTGAGGTTTAGGGAAATGGTGTCACGTCTGATAACTGTCGTGATGTAGAATAATTAATATATTTAATTGATCCTAAACTTGTTGGCTTATATTTTTGGTTAACGGTAAGTCCAGCTGAATATGTTGAAAAATCTATTTAAGCTCTCTCTAGGTAAGGCATGGCCACAAGTGCTCTACTCATGGATGAAGATTGGTTGACCCAGTACGGTGCCTTTGCGTGATAGGCAACGTAAAATCGGCAAATCTTCAAATATTATGCATGTTAAGTTTTAAACACAATGGACGAGTCATTCCTCAACAACTACAAGCACGTGTCCATTACTTTAATTTCCTGTTCCTCAAATAAAGAAATGAACACCAACCTTCATGAAGTGGTGCGACGACCCGGGACTAAATCCATGTAGGCCAAGTCTTGAAAAGGAATATGCAAGCGTTGGTCTTATCACGACCATTAATATACTATTGAGGGTGATTTGAAGTGATCTACGGGCCTAAACCGAGCTAAGTAATTGTTTTATAAAATTGCTATCTGACACCTTTTCAAGCCCAACTTGTTTGACTAAGGACAGACACGATATTGTATCTGCAAAAGTTGTTGAAAGGGTCGATCTCCATGTTTTAAGGACATTTGCTTTTAGATTCATTTAAGAAATAGTCTGTCGTTGCTGATGTCGTTCCTCGTTAAATTAGAAAATTTGAGCCCCTCTGTTATTTGGAGGAAAATACAAAGAACATTCAGAGCATATGCTTGCTTGCAATGCACTTTTATATGTTAGGCTAGAACATATCTTATCCAGGACTTAAGCATTTCTCAAGGTTGTTTCACACAGCTAGGCTTTGTTAAGAAGTTTATCTCATAGTCTGTAGAATGGATTTCCAGA